TCAAAGCCAGCCCAGGCAGGAAAGTCTGTGAAACTCTTATCTCCACTAAACCATCAGAAAACTGGAAGTGGTGCTATAGCTCAAGTGGTAGAGCACTAGCATTGAGCTGAAGAGCTGAGGAACAGCACTCAGGCCCAGAGTTCAAGCCCCACAACTGACATACATACATATATACATACATACATAGCCACTTCATTCAGTATGAAGGTTTGCAGCGGAGAGTTCATCCTAACTGGAGGGCATATAGCTACATAACTATCCTCATGTATGAGGCCACAGACTAGAGAAACAAGATCCACAAAGGACTCTAACACCTCAACTCAAGGGTTTCATTCTTTATCAGCAACCCTTTAGCCAACTGGCAGCATGCTGATGCATTACTGTAGTTGGTTAAGGGACAGCATGAACCCAGTGCTTCTACCGCCTGGTTCCTGTGCACTGGCCCCTTTGTGGGCATCAGACTGTCCGGCCAAAGGCAGCACCTGGTTAGCCTGCATAGCAAAGCCCAGCTCACTCCCAGGCCCACAGAAGCACCAGAGACCAGCCAGGGCAGGCTTTGAGACAGGATAGCACCTGAGGGAAGGTTTCTTTCTCTCCTCTGGTTCCAAAGCAGCACATGGCAGCCATGATCACCGACTGGACCCTCAAGCCCCACAGTGCCATGGCCACTTCTATTTGGCATGTAAACATTGAGCCTCACACACTCACCCAAATAAGGTTTTGAAATACCCATGTGTGTCCTGGTTATGCAAGAGCTCTTGTGAAATTCCAAGCTTTTCACTTTTAAAAAAATGCCTGTGGTATGTACCAGGAGGTGGCCGGGTGACAAAGGCCACAGGCCATCCAGCCCTGGGAACCTGGCTGGCTTGATGTTGACTGCGAACACCTTCACTCCTGCCAGCCCAGGATGCCCAAATGCGCTGCAAAAGGACTGACACCTGGCGAGACAGATGAGCGGCAAAGCATCCAAAATGCTGAGAACGAAACTACATAACCATCCTCCCGCAGGGGAAGAAGAAAACAAAATCCCATGATTTTTAAGATTGAATTACAGAAGTAGAGCAAAGCAAGGAATGCACAGGTGAGAACGATTTGAATTTCAGTTAAGCGTTGGATTCCCGTATGGTGCAATTTTCACCAAAGAAGCGTTTCGAGCCCCTGAGAAGGACAAGAGAAGGAAGGCAAGGAGAGGTCGGAAGAGGCTGAGGAAGCCACCACGTGTGAGTGGAGGCCAATGGGGAGCCTGGCCATGGGGCCCGACACCCCCACCCGAGGTTAGCTTAGGAGTAGATAGGGCTGTGGCCAGGCCCGTCTGAGTTGGTGGCATGCCCTTCAAGGCGACAGGTTGAGAGCTGGAGGTGGTGTCACGCTGGCCCTTTAGGACCCACACAGCCATCCAGGCCTCGGGACCATCCCTTATGCTCCCATTCCCCAGGCCTGGGGTCCAATGGAAACCCAGGTCTGCCGGCCACAGCTGCCCCTCTAGGGCTGATTCGCTCCACAGTGGTGTGACACTGTGGGTGAGGCCGGGCATCAACAGAGATGCTGCAGCTGAAGCCCTGAACCCAGGCAGATGAAGATGAGGCCCTTTGGCCTGACCGACAGCTTCTTAAGGGCACGGAAGGGGAGAAAAACAAAGGCAAGCGTCTCCTCGCCAGGAAACATAATCTGTGATTATAAATATTTCATGGGCAAAGAAAGCAGCCCTGGCTGAGAGTGTGGGTGGGGGGAAGACAGCAAATGAGATCCCAGTTCGCAAAGCGATAGGGCAGCTGGAGGAGCCGCGAGGCTGGGGCTATTCTGGGGGTGTGCCGTGCGGGCCTGCGTCACGGGCTCTGGCCACAGGGCCGAGCTGAAACCACAGCGTGCCAGTGGTCAGCACAGGACACCTTGGAAGAGCAGAGGGGACTGCAAGGACAGAGCGGTTCCAAGGACGCTGAGCCTCACCAGGAGGCGGGAGAGGGGCGCAGCCTAGCAGGCAGGGCCCTGTGGGCCTGTGACTAAGGGCAGAGGCAGGAAAGGGCCTGACCCCAGAAAGCAAGGGACCGGAGAAGCTGGAGGGCAGCTTGGGTCAAGATGCTGAGAATAACAATTCCTTCCATCTTTCCTTTGCCCCGAGCCAGGGGGCTCTTTCTCTCACAGCCTCTAGGGAACAGCACAGAAAGCCCACTGAATCCCAGCTGCTGTGGCTGCAAAGACACACACACACACACACACACACACACACACACACACACACACACACGCGTGCGTGCGTGCAGAGCAGTGTGCCCCCACCAGTGCTGGGGCTCCTCCATGCTGTTCACCACCATAGCAGAACTGGTGACCATACCCTTCCAGCCCTCCCGGTATACCAGATGGGGAGGCACTCCCTATTTTCCCAGCATCCCCCCAGGAACACTTAGTCAGAGGAGCCCTAGGGAGCCGAGTGTGCTCAGTGGGAGAACACAAAGCTGAGCCCTCTGCGGCTCCTTGCCTCCGGGCGTGGCAGGTGACAAGCTCTATGCTAGGACTTGGGAGACTCAGGACAAGGCCATAGGGTCACAGCAGATAAGAATCAAGTCAAGGCAGAGAGGACTAAGGGATGCTGGGCGAAGACCCTGAATCTGAAGTCACAGGATCTGGCTGAGGCCAATCACACAGGGCCCTGAGAAGCGACATCACCTCTGCACCCGTGTCCTCATCTAAAAAGAGGAAACAAAGCTGCGAGGAACACCAAGAAGGTCACTGTGCTAGAATGTTCCCTAGAGTATCTGTACCCAACCACCCTCCAGATCCCCTGGAGGTCTCAAAGGCACAGCCACCCACCTGCTGGCCGCTTCGCTCCCTTCTCCATCCTCGCTGCGTTCGGCGTAATGAAGGCCAAACCCTGAAGTCCTTGGCTATCCCCACCATCTTGGCCCATGGCTGCATCTGGCCACCTGTACCTAAGAGCTACTGGCCCACCCAGTACACATTAGCATCTTAGGCACACTCCCTCCCCGACCCCAAGACTACTACCCCTCCTCAAGCCCCGCTCCTCAGAGCAAACCTACCCTCATGCCCCTGACCACGCCCAGCCCACTTGTTATAGTCCCACTATCCCAGTGAAGCCAGGTGATGGCAGCTTATACCTGTATCTTAGCTACTGAGGAGGTGGAGATCTGAGGATCATGGTTCAAAGCCAGCTTGGAAAAGAAAGGCTGTAAGACTCCAGAAAACTGGAAGATGTGCTAGGGGTCACCTTGAGCAAGAGTTCAGGGACAGTGCCCAGGCCCTGAGTTCAAGCCACCCACAACCCCGCCTCCAACACACACACACACACCAAATTCCCTAGCACCTTTGGGATAAAAACCTTCCAGGGCTCATAAGACCCTGCTCCTCTCCTGGCCTGCCTATAATATGGATCTTCAGTGTCCCCTGGAGGCCTATGTGGGAAAGGCTTAGACCTTAGCTTGTAGTGTCTTTGGTAGTGGACCTTTAAGAGGCAGGGCCTAATGGGAGGAAGTTAGGCCATTGGGGGGGGTGTGCCCTTGAGGAGCATAATAGAACCCCATCTCTCCATGTCTCTTCCACTATGCACTAGACAAATCCATGTGCTTCCCCACTTCTAGCCCCAAAGAAACAAGTTATCTGATCATGGACTGAGCTCCCAAACCTTGAACCAGAATCAGCCTTTTCTCTTCCTAAACGATTGCCTCTGGTGATTGTTACAGTAATGGGAAGCTAACAGACACCAGTTACATCCCTCAACCTACTGCACCCTGGTCCCACCCACTGGCTTTTCCCTCCATCACTGGTCCTGATCACAATCCATCTTGCCCTGGGCTTTAGGAACATGCTCTTCTTCCCTCTGTCTGCAACACCACAGCACACCCCCACACCTACTATTTTATTTTCACTAAGGCACAGAGGACAGAAAGTGCACTGAAGTGTATTGCTAATTAATTATTTACAGACATATCCACTCATGGAACTCCCACACATCTCTAGATCTAGAGCACTGCCGACACCAGGACAGTCCTCTTGCCCCTTCCGATCTCCCTCCCTCAAGATGGCCCTCATTTTGACCCTTTTCCCAATGCCAACACAGACAGCAGCTGAGGCAGCTCTTTCTCTGGGAAAGTCTATTCCCTTTATCACAAATAAACCCTTTTTACACTGGGAGATTTGCACTGCTTGAGGTACCATTTGGTGCATGTCAGCCCTGGTTGTGATACTAAGATACAGGAAGACCAGAGCCAGAATATACACAGCCATGACAGAGCAAAGAGCCTCTCCCTACTGTCCAGGACTGTTCTGCGTATGTGCAAGAACTAGCTTATCAAATCCTCACACCAATGGTGGCACCATTATTAGTCTCCAGTTCATAGGCAAGGAAGCCATGAAGAGTAAGGGGTGGAGTTGGTTCAAACACAAGCAGGCTGGGTCTTAACCACTTCACCACTCTCCTCTCAAAGTCCACTGAGGGACTTAAGCTAAGAGAGCTCATCTCCCCAAGGATGCCAACCAGTGAATGGAAGTCGTCTGTCGCCCTCCTAAGCCCAAGACATCATCTGTAACAGAAGGACTTGCCTGAGTCTCCAGGCGTGCAGGAGCTCTGAGCACGGGGCAGGCACAGGAGCGTTCTGGAGAACATTCCTGGGCAAGCAGGCCGGGGGGAGGATGGGGGTGGCAGCGTCTAGGAAATGGCCACTCCTAATCCATTCTACACAGCACTTGTCCAAGCTGATAAGGCGAGAACGCTGGGACAGGGAAACCAGTTTTTTGGGTAGCAAGTGAGACACCATGGTGCACTTATAAATCGCACACAATTCGCACTGTGGTTTCCCAGATCCTGACAGTCCTTCGTAAACTCAGATCACAGTGTCCAACAGCAGCGGAGGACCCGAGCCCCCACCATGGCTGCTCTGTCCAGACTCGTTCCATGTGCGTGCCGCATGCACATTCACACCAGCATGCACATTCACACCACCGTTCAACTGCTTCAGCATCATCTACCTCACAACCACACCCCAGACAGCAAAGGAAGAAAACGTTTATTCTGTCGTGGGACACTGTCACTGTGGGAGGGAGCAGCCATGCAGTCCCCGGAACCCTGCCAGCATGCACATGTCCAGGCCTGAGTCCTGCAGCTGGAGGCCTGCGTGCTGCTCACACGAAGTTCTGGGCGATGGCCAGCACCTTGGAGTACTCGCCCTCCTTCTGGCGCAGGCTGGTGGGGATAGGGATCTTAATTCGGGTGCCCACGGGGTTCCCATTGTCCTCAATGAGGACCACATTGTTGGAGTCAAACCTGGGGGTCATTCGGGGGCCGGGCATGCGATGTCCTACGATGAGTGCTTTCTTCTTCTGTCCCTTGATGGCCAGCAGTATGCGGTCGCCCACCTTGCCCACCCCACTCTTGTTGTAGACGTGGATGCACCGAGGAGGGCGATGGTAGGGGGTGTTTCCCAGGGCACTGTTGTCCACCACACGCACCCGTGTCATCTTCTGAATCGCACTGAGGCTCCCAGTGGTGCTGACAGGAGAGAAAAGGCAGTCCAGTGAGTGACCTGTATCTCTCCAGGCCGCGTGCACAGGCCTCAGCAAGGGCAAGCGAGTGCATGCTGCCACTTGTAGGCACACACACACACACACACACACACACACAAGCATACGTGCACACACACACAAGCAGAGTCTTTGTTTCCTTACAATCGAGAGCTTCTGCTGCCTGTCAAGATCTCAATCTAGATGGGTTTTAAAGAGAACCCAATTCTTCTGTTACCACAAACTTTGCAGCAGCTTTTATAAAGTAAAAAGTTTCCAAAAGGACTCTGGGAACTGAAGGAATCCTAGTGGGCGGGGCCTCACCCACTGCCTATCCTGCAAAACCTGCTCCCCTAGATGCTCTCCTTTCCTTCCCAACTATACTCTGTATGGCCCTAACTGGAAACCCACAGACACGAGTGAGTAGACTTGCTAAAGGAGTTCCTTGACACAATGCAGCAGAAACTGGAAACAAGTCAAGGTAACTAACTTTTATTTTAATACCAGTCAAGGTTTTTCGTTTGTTATTTCTGGCAGTAGTGGGGCTTGAACTCAGGGCCTTGTACTTGCTAAGCAGATGCTCTACCACTTGAACCATGCCTTTAGCCCTTTTTTCTTGGTTATTTATTTCAGTTGGTTGTGAGGCTTGAACTCTGGGCCTGGGAGCTGTCCCTGAGCAGTTCAGCTCAAGGCTAACGCTCTATCACTTGAGCCACAGCACCACTTCTGGTTTTCTGGTGGTTAAGTGAAGACAGGAGTCTCACAGACTTTCCTGCCTGGGCTGGCTTTGAACCATGACCCTCAGATCTCAGCCTCCTGAGTAGCTAGGGTGACAGGCGTGAGCCATGGGCACCCGGCTTGCTTGGTTATTTTCAAGGTAGGTCAGCCCACACTGCAATCCTGCTACTTGCGTTTCCCTTTGTTGCTGGTGATTATCTACGGTGGCATATACCTGTAATCCCAGCTATGCGGGAAGTATAAATAGGACAATGTTCCAAATGACCAGACTACAACTGTGAAGGTTTTAATGTCCTGGAGGAGTGATAGGGTCAAGAGTAGTCAGATCACTTTAAGAATTTTGTAGGGACAGAGAAGCAGCAACTTCCACTATATTACAATCCAGACAGAGCTGTCATCTCCTTCCCCTACCCTCCTCTTACGGGACATAGGATGCACCCCCCCCCTCGCTTCCCAGTTCCCACTGGCGTTGCAGTCCCCATAGGAGCCAGTGCTGATGGGAGGCCAAGGCAGAACAGGTTTTAGGAACTTAACATGAAAGTTACCTGAAGTAGCGTTGGCTGAGTGCTCGGCCTGTGGGGACAAAGAGGCCCAAGGGCCCAGAAAAGACGGCCATGGGGTCCCAGATGGCAAGTCCTACTGGAAAGGGGGAGAAAAAGATCATTTCTAAGTCAGGGTCCTTGCTCAGAGTCAGTTGTCTTTGGAGATTTGTGTGGGAGATGACACTTGTAGTGTAGATCATTAGTCACAAAATATAAAGGTTTCTTAGTAGTTAAAAGGCGTGTGATGAATAGCGGAACCCCTGCTCCAACACGCTACCCATGTTCCACCTCTGGGGTCAGGAAGTGGGGATGGCATGGCTTTGAACAGAGTCCTTCCCCCTCTTAGCCCTTCCCAGGGGGCAGGACACAGAGACCACCTTGCTGTCAGAGACCACCGTGCTGACAGAGACCACCATGCCCTCTGCAGACACTAAGCACTACCCAAACTGTCAGTCCCACATCACCTTTCTGCCCAATATGAAAGCCAGGGCACCTGTGTCACTCAAGGCCAGCAGAGAAGAGCCAAAGGCTGCCCTGGACCTGGCTGGGCCAGTCTCCCAAATGACACTGTGATCTGGGGGACCTGTGGCTGAAGGGGGATCCCAGGAAAGCAGGCAACAGCCCAGGGCCAGCGTTAACAAGCATGGCAATACCTGAGCATCCTTGGAGCACAGCTGAGAAGTGCCCACACAGCTGGTGACTCCAGCCACAAAGCATACTCACTCCCCACCCAAGGGCCTGACTCAAGGCTCTGCCACGGCCGGGCGCTGGTGGCTCACACCTGTCATCCTAGCTACTCAGAAGGCTGAGATCTGAGGATCGCGGTTCAAAGCCAGCCCGGGCAGGAGGGACCGTGAGACTCTTATCTCCAATAAACCACCAGAAAAC